TAGCAACCCAGTAGGGACCGTCATGCTGCTATCTTCCCTTACATCATGCTTACTTTTCGCCGGTCATCATGACGAGTTCCTTTCCAAATTCCCATGACTTTTATTAGCAGTTGGCCGCCGAAATCATGCATGACTTGGTAAAGTGCAAAAGGTATGCGGCACGAAATACGGAATTGACATTCGTAAAACTTCGTTTACGAATCCAAATGCACTTTACGATGGAAGCATGTTGTAAGCATGACAAAGTAAACTAAATCGTCATGGGCGATGCTTGTGCACGCAAAATATGAGGTGATCATTTTCTGCCTTACGACCTGCTTCCAAAGAAGGTGGTCACCTTCTTTTGTAGCTTACGAAGTCAGTAGGTTGTAAGGATGTTAAATGCTCTTGCATTTTACATATTTTTATTCTAAAATAAATTTTTATAAAAAAAATAAAAAAACAATATATTTTTTTGTTTTAATTTATTAGAAAAATAAATAAACATTACAAAAACAATAGATTATAATTTTTTTTGGTTTAAATTTTTTTTTAAATATAAATATTATTAATTTTTTTTGTTTTAATTTTTTCTTTAATATAAATAAATAAAAATTACAATATTATAAATTATAATTTTTTTTGCTTTAAATTTTTTTTAATTTTTTTTTAATATAAATAAATAAAATTAACAAAAACAATATTTATTGATATTATAATTATAGATTTTAATTTTTTTTTGTATTTTTTCTTTGTTTTTTTTATTATTATAAATATTAAATAAATAAATAAAAATTATTTGCTGGTTTCTTCCACTCTGCGCTTCTTCCGGTCGTTGCACTGCTGTTTATAATGAATTCCTTTAACATTCTTTATGGCTATTCGTATATCCGAAATATACTCCTTTTCTGTATAGCCATCTTTTTGCAAGGCTTCTGTAAAGAAAAATAAGTTGTTAGTTTTATTTATTTATTTATATATATGCATCAATTTTTTTATACCGAATATTGAAGCATTTAAGAATTTAAATTCCTTAAATGCTTTTTTGGTGCCAATTTCATCATAATTTAACTCCAAAACTAACGTTCGATCGATGATTCGATGTAAGTTTTTTTTTATTCCCTCCGGTTGAATAATGGATTTTATTAATTTAGCCTAAATGGTTTCAAAAAGAAAAAAATTTATAAATCGAACGAAGTAATTCAATTAAAATATAATCAAAAGTTTTGTATATTTAGTTTTTGATTGTATGAAATATAACTTACATATTGAGCACTTTTAGTTGCACAAAGTGCGTCCATATTCCCCAATTCTTCAAACGTCTTGATGGGAAAGCAGTTATCAGAAACTGCTGTATCGCTTCTCTTTTCCATCATGTTCATGAGTGTGTGGAATTTTGCTATAACGTCAATGTTACTTTCTGTAAAAAAAAGGGATTCTCATAAATAATTTTATTTTATTTAGTAAAATTAGTAATGTTACCTTTTACTAATTTCAACTCCTTGAGTATCCTGATTTTGAGAAATTGAGAAATAATAACTAACAACTTAAATTAAAATATAAACAAATAATTAAATAATAACAATTATTATTAAAATAATAAATAAATATTCCAGTAAATAAACTGGAAACAGCAACAGAACTGTAGACTGAAACAGAAATAATAAATATAGTTTTTAAAAAACACGCCAGGTATATAAAGCGCAATCAAAAAAAATGTTTTCAATTTAAATTTCAACTTACACTGGAATTCCGAAGGAAAAACTATTGATATTGTTAAACACAAATTCACAATATATTATAAATTTCTTTTGTTTATTCGTTTATAATATTCGTTTATTAATTTATTAAATTTAATAAATTTAGCAAGACACCAAAAATTCACAAAATCGATCCGCACCGAAAAATTAAACGCTCCGCACTTAAATGCACACGAATACTGAGCATGCTCGAATAATTGTATAGAAATTTCCTTAAGGAATACAACAACAACAAATATGACAAAAAAATATCTGTCGTTCGGTTAATTTCACGAAGAGTAAGGGTTTTTTTTTCGCTAGCCGCATGACATGATACATTACCAGTACATTCTTTTAGTATGATGACTTCTCACATTCCTTTGTAAACATGATGTCATGCATACCTTTTTCATGTGCTTACCAAACGGACTACTGGGAAATTGTATTGTTTATTTTTGGAGGGGGATAAGCG